AACATTACTAAACAGTTGTATATATGTATATATATATATATATATTATATATATTGATATATATATATATATTATATATATATTATATATATATTGATATATATCTGTCTCTTATACACATCTAGATGTGTATAAGAGACAGGTATACGCATGGAACTGTTGCTAACACAATCTGTACGTATACGTCATACTGTAAACCAACACATACAGTACCACAAATTAAGTTAAATAATATGTTTAGAATTTTGAATGATGCATATTCATAATATTTAAAAGAAGGGATTGTGAGGGCAAAATATGTACATAATTATTTCACAAGATTTGCAAAAATTTTCAATTTTTAGAGATAAACAAGGTATTAATTGTAAATTCACTTTTTGTCTACAATCATTTGCCTTTGGAATTTACTACAATCCAATTCAGGAAATTAATATTATATCAATTTTTAAAAAGAAATTAAATTCAATATTATGAAATCGGGTGGGATAGCTTATAACGTGGCTAACACGAACACAGCTCTTATAACGTGGCTAACATGAACCCAGTACTTATAACGTGGCTAACACAATCTCAGCTCTTATAACGTGGCTAACACGAACACAGCTCTTATAACGTGGCTAACACGAACCCAGCACTTCTAACGTGGCTAACACGAACACAGCACTTCTAACGTGGCTTACATGAACCCAGCACTTCTAACGTGGCTAACACGAACACAGCACTTCTAACGTGGCTAACACGAACTCAGCTCTTATAACCTGTCTAACACAACTCAGATGTACAAAAAAACCTCATAATAATAATTTAATAAGTTTAGCACCCGAGTTTGAGATGTGGCCAAATCGGAAAGAGCAATTGGTCTGTGCTTCCAATCTTCCTCCCGTTCTTCTGACCATCTAAGATTTACAACATAATACAATAATACATGACATACCAAAGAATCTACAATTCCATAATGTTTCGAAGCTATAAAGTTACATTTTACATTACTCACAAGCAAGGGTAAGTACAGTAACAATCAATATACTTGCACATTTAATTATTAAGAAACAAAAACAAATACATGAAAACTCACGGTCACGATCTTATGCCCACTTCGTGTTGGTTTTGGATCTGTCCTGTAACATCGTCACACCAGTACGTGAAACCGAGCCACAGTACCCGATATACCAAACAACGCACTGAAATATACGGCACAGCATACAAGACACAAGGCATTACCCAGCCAATCCCGCACGCAGCCGTTCCACTCAACAAAACGAGGGGGTAAAAACACTTTCACCCCAACGCTTCACTCAAATACCGTTGCGCACCTGAGCCATGCTTTTATTTAAATAAACACACATGATGCAAATATACGCTGAAAGTCATGTTTATTCAAATACAAAAAAAAAACAAAAAAACACAAACTTGTTACAACGTATGGGGGGGGGGGGGGACTAGCTCAGTGTGGGCGAATATCAGAAAAATCAAATCCCCCCACCCCACACACCCACACACAATCTCCTCGTTTTTATAATAAATGTTTTGGAAATTAAATTGCCTTCTCACGTGACGTAGCGTTGTACGCCGCAGCCCGATGAGACTTCTGTCGCGATAGGCCTGCGTCGGAGACGCTTTGTAGAGTATTATTCTCACGACGATCTAAAGACCGTCCCATACACTAGATCTCGTCGGCTTGCTTCGTACGACGTTGTCTGATGTGTACGGAGCCAATAAAGGGACATGGTTAAAGAAAATATTAAACTATTTCGAGGGAACGAAATAATATTTCGAGGGAACGACATAATATTTCGTTCCCTCGAAATATTATTTTGTTCTCTCAAAATTATATTTTGCTCCCTCGAAATTTTATTTTGTTCCTTCGAAATATTATTTCGTTCCCTCGAAATAATATTTCGTTCCCTCGAAATAATATTTTGTATATGGTACGCCCTCAGTGCCTTCGGCGTCGGCTGTTCGTCATGGGTGGCGCAAGGATTTGGGCAACGTGGGGCAGGCTGGGGTCGATGCCCAAGACGAGGGGTCAGATTTCCCCAACGAAAGCTAAGTGGGTGTGGTCGAGCTTCGATTAACAGGTTTCGACAGTTTATAAATTTTGACAATTTAAAGGTTTCAAAGGTTTATTTAATTGATATTAGAGTCTACTAATATGTAGACAATACATAGAATTTGTGTTCTCCCCGACGAATTGTGCTTTTTATC